TGTTATTTTCTGTATATATATATATAATGGTAGTTATATGATTCTGTAATATTATCTAAGCCAAAGAACTTCGAACGTTCGGCTGCAAGGCGGCGAAGTGGGGAGGATCGAAAAGCGCTGTCCGCACTGAAGATTGCGGCCGAGGACACTGTGGAGGTTTTAGAGTTTAGGGGTTGACAGCCTTTGGGAGCCAGCTTCGGAGATGCGGAAAAAGTGGGAACTCTTGGCCCATCGCCACCGGCTGTGCCGGCGCCGCAGATTCGGATTCTGGGATAAGCACAGCCTGGAAGTTTTTTTTGAACGAACTTCGCTTGCATTTCTAGCGGTCCCGAACCCAAGGAGCGGTTTAGGGTTTAGGCTTTAGGGTTTAGAGTTTAGTTTTCGCTAGGGAGCAAGGCAGATGTGAAGGAACACTGCGAAAGTCCAAGTTCAATTCGGCGTGTGATCACCTGTTCTCTTTTGCAGATGCATGAGCGCATGAGTTCAGACGAGGACATGTTGCACAACGGGTGTCGGACGAGACCAAGTCCAGGATACAACAACATGAAGCCATGCGAGCTCAACCTGTTTTGACTTTCGGACAGCTGCACCAAGACTTTACTCATCGTCCGGCACTTTCTTAAACCTGTCGACCCGAAAACCTGTGCTTCAGGGATTGGGGTTTAGGGTTTAGGGTTTACGGTTTAGCTCCTTAAACCCTATAGCCCGCTGAGCTCTCCTCACACCCCTTTCATGCCAATAGCGTTACAGCAGCAAGTGGGAGGATGCTATCAGCCGAGTGCAGAAGGCCCAGCCGGAAGGTATTAGGGCCTAGGGTTTAGGCTCGGAATTCCGGTTTAGGCATTTAGGGGTTTAGGGTTTAGGGGCGAAGTTCTTCACGAGTTTCCAGCTGCTGTTGGACTTGGTTTGAATTTGGGGTTCCGTATTGAACCCTAAACCCTAAACCCTTGGTTATGTTTGACGGAAGCCCTAAACACTTTATACCAGAAACCTGAACCATACATTCCAATCCCAAAGCCCGGAAAGTGAAGAACGCGAAGCAATGGGTTTTGGTAGTTTGGGCCTTAAGCCCTACCTAGACCCTGAAGAACCTACCTTTTTGGGCCTCCTTATTATGATTTCTTTATCTAAGTCCTTAACAAGGTAGGTTCTTTGGGGTTAAGGTAAACCCTAAACCCTTGCAGGTTTGGGGTTTGCGGCGCTTTGGGCAGACCCTGCCGCTGCCAAAACTCGTACTTCAAGGAGACAGTATACACACACACATATGGGTAGTTCTCTAGATTAGGCTCCCTTTTTAAACCAATATAGTACGGCAGCCTTATAAAACGGACCTGCAAAGGGACCCTAGTTTAGAAAACTACCCATACCCAAAGGCTCCACATATACTACCATTATGGTATCATATTTATTGTCGCTTTAGCGACCTAATTCCAAATGGCAGTAACCCTAAACCCTATACCCTAAACCCTAAGCCTAAATATGGGTAGTTGTCAAAATTATGGTCCCTTTTGGGGTACCCCAAATAAGAGGTGCCGTATTATAACAAGGACCCCAAAAGGGACCATAATTTTGACAACCACCCATATGGAGCCTCTGGGACATGTAGAGTTGCTGAGTCGATCGGGCCTCCACGCAATTCCAGTCTGTTGCTTGTGAGGCGGCCGATGGCGCAGATGCGAACAAAGGATCAGCTGAGGAGTCATCTTACCAATACTATTCTGGCGGCTTAGGGCTTAGGGTTCAAGGCTTATAGGGTTTAGGGTTTAGGGTTTGGGGGCCTTAATAGTTACCTTTTATTTTTATTTTTTGGGGGGTCCTTTATTATAATAATAGTAGTATGATATACCCCAGAACCCTATTCTAATTATCATGGCCCCAACATTAGCCTGAGACGGCGGCTGTTCCCTTACACTGCGGTTCAGTGGTTCCGATTGCGCCCGCACGTTGGGGGTAGCACGCCCGATGCGTCGGTAAGCCATCAACCCGACCCCGAGCCCCTAATTTAGAAGCCCTGAAGATTAATTAAACCAAAACCCTTATTATGATTTGAAACCTGAAACCCCTAAACCCTAAACCCTAAACCCTTATTATGATTTGAAATCTGAAACCCCAAATCACAAGCGTGAACATCCTCAAGCAAAAACGCCCTAAAAGGCTCAACCAAAACCCTCAAAAATGTCCAGCTAACCCCAAAGCCCGCAAGCCGGAGGCTCCATCCCTAATTGTCTGTGTACTCAAATGGTAGATTCCTCTGCCCCAAGTACCTATATAGGGACTACTTTAAGCGGTTTAGGGCTTAGGGTTTACGTTAATGACTACATTAAGCGGTTTAGGGTTCATATTTTTTAGAACCCTAACCTCTAAACCCTAAATACTATTCGGGCACATGGGCCCTTAGGGCCGGCCCGCTGTAGGAGCGCCGAGCCGGTACCGTCGCTGCCTTCCACGCCCTGCCCCTCACGGCCAAGCTCCGGATCCTCGTTGCGGAGAAGGCGCCGTTAATTCTGGCCTCTGGCTAAGGGCTTCTTATTTAAGATGCCATAAAAGTGGTTAAGGGGCTTTTTATTTAAGATGCCATAAGAGGGATCTATAGTAACTAATATGGTTTATTTGTGAAGGTAGCTTAAATTCAATCCCTTAAGAAGAGCCCAGACAATGGGAGATAGGGGGTTTCCTTACTTTCAGGGGTCCATCAAGTTTCATAAAGTCATACCTTAAGAACCCAAAACCCCACTTTCTGTAGGCTCTTATTATAAACCCTAAACCCTAAACCCTAAACCCTAAACCCTAAACCCTAAACCCTTATATGGGATTTATAGGGGCCCTACAAGAAAGTAGGTTTTGGGTTCTTAAGGTAAAGGTTCCTCACGGATTTCTGGCAAGGCTTCGGAGGGGTTTAGGGTTTAGGGTTTAGGGTTTGTAATTTCGAGGAGAAGACGGCTTTTGTGATAGGGTCTACTCAGAACGGATCTATAGGGTTTCAAACACACCTTTGCAGTTGAGCCTGAGGTGCTCACGATTTCGGGGGTTGGACGCGGTTGTTTTGGAAGGCACTGATCTAATTTGCGGCATGGCTGCTGGTGTTCTCAATGCTTCAGCTTGGCCTAGAATCTTGCCTAAGTTCTGAGACACTTTGCCATTGACTGCTTAGGCTCTTGAGGAGCTAGTGCCAAAAAAAACGGGCCGTTGCAAAGAGTTTACGTTCCATGTGGCTTGTACTTCCAGAGCCCAAATGTCTACTGCATTGGATCTCAGGCCATTTGGGTTCTGCCATCCTCGGGTTTAGGGTTTAGGGGTTTAGGGTTCCTACCACCCGCGTTTGGTAAGCCCTGCTTCAGGCTTGCATTGCACCCGCTAGGCTTCTTGCTAAACCCTAAATACGCTGCAACAAATGCTGAGCTCCGAGGCATTCTGTATGAAGCAGTCGGTTTGTCAGCTGAGACTGCAAGCTACGTTCATCAGTATGTCATACCTACGCCTATGTCTTGGATGAGTTCCTATCCACTCGATGGTGCCCAAAGGAACGGGGTACCTGTTCCACCTGCTGGGCTACCACAAACTGTTAGTTTCTCAGCTTTGCGCCTGTCCTTGGCTCCCCTGGCCTCCAGGCCTCTCGTGGATGTGTGTCGCTGGTGACAGGGGCGTGCAGATGCAAAAGAGGGGGTTAAAGAACAAGCCTAAATACGGTTTGGGCTGTAGGGCTTAGGTTTTAGGGAACCCCCAAGAGCTAAAGCTTTTTGCTTGAACCTATACCTTAACCCCAGATAACCTATGTATTTAAGGACTTATTATAAAGAAATCATAATAAGGAACCCTAAATAGCTAGGTTCTTTAAGGTCCAGGTAAACCCTACACTCTGAACCCTGATTTCATACCCTAAGCCCTTACATGCCCTCAACCAAGCTTTCTTTCACAACTCAGAAGCCGTAGCCCCAAAACCCTAAACCCTAAACCCCTAAACGCTAAACCCCTAAACCCTAGAAGCTCTAGCCCCAACTCTTCCCCGAAGTTCCTTTGAGCATGAGCTTTACTCATCCAGCCTCCTCAGCCCTAAGCCCTAAGCTTAATGAGGGTCCACGTACGTAAGAATCCTAAACTCTCCTAAAGGAACCCTTACAGAAACACATAGAGTTAGCCCGAAACCCTCGACCAACTCGAAACCCTCAACCCTGAGCTCTAAACCCTAAACCCTACACCCTGAACTCTAAACCCAAAACCCTGAGCTCTAAACCCCCCTAAACCCTACACCCTGAACTCTAAACCCCAAACCCTGAACTCTAAACCCTACACCCTAAACCCGACACCCTAAACCCTAAACCCTATACACCCTAAACACTATACTCTAAACCCTAAACCCTGAACCCTAAACCCTAAACCCGACACCCTAAACCCTAAACCCTATACACCCTAAACCCGACACCCTAAACCCTAAACCCTAAACCAGAAAGCTGCGGCGCTGCTCCTCGGTGGCAGCTTCTTCCTCGGCTCTGTCGGGATGCTCGGAATTTGCCTCGAGGCCGATAAGGGTTTGAGGGGTTAGGGGTTTGGGGCTTAGGGGTTTAGGGGATCGGGGTTTAGGGGGTTTGGGGTTTTGGTTTAGGGTTTAGGGGGTCAGGGTTTAGGGGTTTAGGGGTTTAGGGGTTAGGGGTTTGGGGGGTTTGGGTTTAGGGTTTAGGGTGTTGGTTTAGGGTTTAGGGGGTTAAGGTTTAGGGGTTTGGGGGGGTTATATAGGGGTTTAGGGTTTAGGATTTAGGGTTTAGGGTTTAGGGTTTACATGTAGGGTTAGGGGTTTAGGATTTAGGGTTTAGGGTTTGGGGTTTTATTTGGGTTCAGGAGTGACAGGCTTATAGGGCTGCGTT